ATTCCCACTATACTGAGAATTTTTATCAAAAATGGGTGCTGAATTTTATCGCATGCCTTTTCTGCATCTATTGATATGACCATGTGGTTTTTATCTTTTAATTTGTTTATGTGATGTATCACATTTATTGATTTGTGAATATTGTACCAGCCTTGCTTCCCTGGAATAAATCCCACTGATTATAATATATGATCTTTTTAATGTCTTGCTTGATCTGACTTGCTAATATTTTTTGAGGATTTTAGCATCTGTGTGCATCAGGGATACTGGCCTGTAACTCTCTTTCTTTGTAGTATCCTTATATGGTTTTGGAATTAGGATAATGTTGGTTTTTTAAAAGGAGCTTGGGCGTGTTCCTTCCTCTTGGATTTTTTGGGATAGTTTGAGGAAGATAGGTCTTAGTTCTTTGAATGTTTGGTAAAATTCACCTGTAAATCCATCCAGTTCAGGACTTTTGTTTACTGGAAGTTTTTTCATTACTGTTTTAATTTCATTAGTTGTTATTGGCCTACTCAGGTTTTCTGATTCTTCCTGATTTAGTTGTGGAAGAATCTGTTTCTCGGAATTTGTCCATTTCAACCAAGTTATCTAGTTTGCTGGCATATAGTTGTTCATAGTATTTGCTAACAATCCTTTGTATTTCTGTGGTCCATTGTTATATCACCTCTTTCATTTCTGATTTTACTTATGTGGGTCCTCTTTCTTTGGTTCTTGAGGAGTCTGGCTAGGAGCTCTTGGATTTATTGATCTTTTGTACTGTCTTTTAAGTCTCTCTATCATTTATTTCTATTCTGATATTTATCATTTTCTTCCTTATACTTCCTCTGGAATTTTCTTTCTGTTTTCTTTATAATTCATTTAGTTGTAAGGTTAGATAGTTTATTAGTCCTTTTTCTAGTTTCTTGAGTTGCCTGTGGTACTATGAACTTCCCTCTCAACACTGTTTTCACCATGTCCCATAGGTATTGGTTGTATGTTCATTTTCATTTGTCTCCAGGAAGTTTTTAATTTCTTGCTTGATCTCATTGGTAATCCATTCATTGTTTAATAACATGTTATTTAGCCTCCATGTATTTGAGTATTTTTATTGTAGTTGATTTCTAACTTCATGCCATTGTTATCTGAGAAGATGCTTGGTATCATATCAATCTTCTTGAATTTGTAGAGACTTGTGTTGTGCCCTAACATGTGGTTTATCTTTGAGAATGTTCCATGTGCACTTGAGAAGAATGTATATTCTGTTGCTTGGGTTGAAATGTTCTGTAAATATCAGTTAGATCCATCTGATCTAGTGTGTCATTGAAGGCCTCTGTTTTCTTGTTAGATTTTTGTCTTGGAAGATCTATCCAGTGCAGACTATGGGTGCTAAAGTCTACTATCACACACACACACACACACACACACACACACACACACACACACACATCTACTATGACTGTACTGCTGTTGATTTCTCCCTTAAAGTCCATCAAGAGTTTTTTTTATGAACTTGGGTACTCCTATATTGGGTACATATATGTTTATAAGGGTTATATTTTCTTGTTGAGTCATTCCCTTTAGTATTATGAAGTGACCTTCTTTGTCTCCTGTTAAGGACTTTGTTATGAGGTCTAATTTGTCAGATATGAGTCTTGCTACTCCAGTTTTTTTTTTCCTGCATGGAATATATTTTTCCATCCCTTCATTCTCAGTCTAAGTGTATTTTGTTCTGAGGTGGGTCTCTTGTGGACAGTATATATATGGGTCATGTTTTCTTATCCACTCAGTCACCTTATGTCTTTTGACTGGAGCAAGGACTTTGTTATGAGGTCTAATTTGTCAGATATGAGTCTTGCTACTCCAGTTTTTTTTTTCCTGCATGGAATATATTTTTCCATCCCTTCATTCTCAGTCTAAGTGTATTTTGTTCTGAGGTGGGTCTCTTGTGGACAGTATATATATGGGTCATGTTTTCTTATCCACTCAGTCACCTTATGTCTTTTGACTGGAGCATTTAAGCCACTTACATTTAAGGTTATTATTGAAAGGTATTTACTTACTGCCATTTTTATTTTCTTTATGACTATGATCCTCTCTCTCTCTTCTGTTCTTCTTAAAACAGTCCCTTTAACATTTCTTGCATTGCTGGTTTGGTGATAAATGTATTCATTTAACCATTTTTTATCTGGAAAGCTTTTTATTTCACCTTCAATTTTAAAAAATAACCTTGCTGGATAGAGTAGTCTTGGATTTAGGCCCTTGCTTTTCATTACTTAGAGTACTTTATGCCACTCCCTTCTGGCCTGAAGTATTTCTCTTGGGAAGTCAGCTGGCATTCTCATGAAAGCATGCCAAACTTGAGGCTGGCGGGCTGAAAGTTTGACATGCTTGTTCTAATGGGAACTCCTTTTTAGGTAAGGTTTTGTCCCTCTTTTGCTGCCTTTAAGACTCTTTCTTTGTCTTTAATGTTTGCCATTTTAATTATGATGTGTCTAGGTGTGGGTCTCTTAGGGTTAATCTTGATTGGGACTCTCTGTGCCTTCTGAACTTGTGTGAAATTTTCCACTAGTAAGTTGGGAAAGTTTTCTGTCATTATTTCTTTAAACAGGTTCTTTGTTGCTTGCTCTCCCTCTCCCCCTTCTAGTATTCCTGTAATGTGGATGATGTCATGTTTCATGTTGTCCTGGAGCTCTATTAAGCTATCTCCCTGTTTTTTAATTCTTTTTTCTATTTGCTGCTCTAATTGGGTATTTATTTCTACCTTGTCTTCCAAATCACTGATTCAATCTCCTGCTTTATCCAATCTACTTTTAATCCCTTCCAGTGTATTCTTTATGACAGATATATCATTCTTCATTTCTGTATGGTTCTTATTCATGGCCTCTATTTCCCTTTTCATGCTGTTGTAATTTACACTAAGTTCCTTAACCATCTTTATAATCATTGCTTTGAACTCTATGTCTGATAGCTTGCTTGCTTTCTTTTCATTTAGTTCTTCTTCTGGAGATTCCTCCTTTTCTGTCATTGGGGGTTGTTTGTTTGTCTCCCCATTTAGCTGTCTCTTTGTATTTGCTTCTATGTGTTAGAACTGCTATGCCTCCAAGTTTTTGTGGGATGGCCTTATGTAAAAAGTGTCTGGAAGGGTCCAGTGGTGCATTCTCCTTTTTCACCTGAGCTGGATGCTCTAGGAATGCCCCTGTGCGCATTATTTGGGCTCTCCTGTTATAATTGGATCTGGATTGTTGATGTCCCATTCGTGGGAGGGTTCTCCCCTCCAAATTGCTGCCAGTGAGGTTTAACCCCAATGTTGTTGTGCCAGCTGTTATATAGCTGCTTTGAGCCCACTATTTCTGGGGCTCGCTGTATTTTGCTTTGATGTTTGGTGTGTCTACCCTGGGCCTCCTGGGAGCTTCTCAGTGCAGATTAATGTTAATTACTGTACCTTTCTGGCCCTGGGCAGCCAGATTGAGGTCCAAGAGGTTGAAGCCCCTAGTAGTCCAGTGGTCAGGAACTCCTTTGACCAGAGGCTGGGTCTGCCTTGAGTCTCTCACCTTGATTGTCCCTGTTCTGAGCTATATTCCCTTCCCTACAAAGCTGGTCCCACAGGTGTCAGCTGCAGGCGCTTGGGGTCCTGCTAGCTTTTGCTACACTCAGCAGCCAGAGATGGTGTCTGCGCAGGAAATCCCGCTGGTGTTAGCCTCCCTGCACCATCTGGGGTGGTGTCTACTGAATATTTTAAAAAACAGGACAGCAAATCATTCCTCTGAAATGGTCCTGTATAGAGATGAGAGGACTGGATTACTTAACTCCCAAGATTCCTTTTATTTGTTTGTTGTTGTTGTTGTTATTCACTTGATTTTTTTATTGTTTTATTGCTTAAAGTATTACAAAGAGTATTACATATGTCTCCTTTTTTTCCCGCCCTTGACAATCCCCTGGCCTCCCCTACCCCCCAGTGTCTTATGTCCATTGGTTTTGCTTATATGCATGCATACAAGTCCTTCGGTTGATCTCTTACTCCCCTCCCTTCTGCCCCCCAACCCTCTCTGGCCTTCCCACTGCAGTTTGACAATCAGTTTGAGGCAGCTCTGCCTCTGTATCTATTATTGTTCAAAAGTTTATAATGGTCTCTATTATCCATGAATGAGTGAGATCATGTGGTATTTTTCCTTCATTGACTGGCTTATTTCACTTAGCATAATGCTCTCCAGCTCCATCCATGCCGTTGCAAATTGTAAGAGTTCCTTCTTTTTTACAGCAGCATAGTATTCCATCGTGTAGATGTACCACAGTTTTCTAATCCATTCATCTACTGATGGGCACTTAGGCTGTTTCCAGATCTTAGCTATGGTGAATTGTGCTGCTATGAACATAGGGGTGCATATATCCTTTCTGATTGGTGTTTTTGGTTTCTTGGGATATATTCCTAGAAGTGGGATCACAGGGTCAAATGGGAGTTCCATGTTTTGTTTTTTGAGGAAACTCCATACTGTCTTCCATAGTGGCTGCACCAGTCTGCATTCCCACCAGCAGTGCACGAGTGTTCCTTTTTCTCCACATCCTCTCCAGCACTTGTCGTTTGTTGATTTGTTGATGATAGCCATTCTGACAGGTGTGAGATGGTACCTCATTGTTGTTTTGATTTGCATCTCTCGGATGATTAGTGACTTTGAGCATGTTTTCATATGTCTCTTGGCTTTCTGAATGTCCTCTTTTGAAAAGTGTCTATTTAGGTCCTTTGCCCATTTTTTGATTGGATTGTTTATCTTCCTTTTGTTAAGTTGTATGAGTTCCCTATAAATGTTGGAGATTAAACCCTTATTGGTGATAAGATTCCTTTTATTTGTGATTTTTCAGATTTCGGTTCAGGAGAATATAAATAACAATATGCTGTTATTGGGTGTCTATTTGAGGTTAAACACTAAAGGTTTCCTTCAGTAAGATTTCCATTTCTTTTTCTGTTATCCACGTCTACTTTGTGCATGGAGAGCCTTCACCCAGCCTTGATTTTTTCATTGCAGGAGAAGGATGACATCCAGAGGGCAGAATGCATGTTGCAGCAGGCGGAGAGGCTGGGCTGCCGGCAGTTTGTCACAGCCACAGATGTTGTCCGAGGGAACCCCAAGTTGAACTTGGCTTTCATTGCCAACCTCTTTAACAGATATCCTGCCCTGCACAAACCAGAGAACCAGGACATAGACTGGGGGGCTCTTGAAGGTAACTGAAAGCCAGTTGATTGAGAGTTTAAAAAATCATTCACAATTCTAGGCAATTCAAAATCACCTCCTAAGCAAATATAAAACCCAAACAGATTATGAATTCTCTGATACATAACAAAGGAAATAAAATAGATTAATCCAGTCAATTACAGCAAAGCAAGAAAAATCAAATATTATTACATCACATCCATAATACATAGACTTTATCCATTATCAGAATTGTTTTAGGCAAAACAATGAACTTAATTATCAGATGAAATAAATCCTAACTTCCAAAAATCTAATTATGTACTTAGGTCACTGAGTGTTAATTCCTAGAAGCAAGAAATTGCAGCCACTCGTCATCTAAAAATGTTTTTTAACTATTCTAGGAGGTGTTTACTGAGGTTTTTGTTTTGTTTCTTTGCTTTGGGTTATGGGAGGCACACAACCATATTTTGAGGCAGAATCCCTGACAATTATAGTTTGGGAGTTGATTCCCTAAGTGTGAACAAAAAAGCGTATAGTGTTACTCAGTTTCTAACAGGTAACAGTGCCAGAGATGGTTATTTTAATTCCCATCATGAGTTAGTCTCAATACTGAGACAGGAAAATCAAAACAAAGTTAATATTAAATGACTATTGCCAAAGAAAGGAAATGCAGATTTAACATATTGTTGATCATTTCTCCACAATGCTTTACTCTAGCTAGAAATGCAAAATTAATTTGTATTCCAACACTGCTGCATTTGTATCATTTGATAAATTGTGGTCAGTGGTCCATGCATTTTGCTGACTCCATGTATATATATCAAGCCTCTTATCACCCATTTCCAGCTGTCTCTAGAACATTCGCCTTTGGATTCTTCACTAACACTTGAGATTCAGCATTTACAAAGAAAAATTGATCATTTCTCCCACACACATACACCACTGTCTTTCTATTCTACCCTTCTCCCATCCCCTTCCTTCAGAAAGTCTCCATTTCCATTAACCTTACCATTTTTTTCTTTAATTACCAAATCCCTCAGTTCTACTTTAATATCTTCCTCACCCCTAAATGTATTGAATCAGCAAATACTAATAATTCTTCCTATAGAATGGCTTTTTGATCATTATTTTTCCTTTCTGCTCTTTTAGACTTTTGTTAAATCATACACCAACTATTTCAATAGGTCTTGGGGGCCTATTCCTCCATTCATCAAGCTCTTAAATGTGCTAGTGTCAAACACTATCCCCTCTGCATGTTTAATTTAATTTAAATGTATATTGCCTTCCAGAAATTCTACACACTGCTGTCAGGCACATCACAATACTGCTTTCATTATATCTCGGCCTTATTCAAGAATTTATTATAGTAATATAAAAAAGAACCATAATGATTGTCTAATATATCAACCCAAATCTGCTACCTCACACAAATATCCCTGATCCTGGTTCCAGCCACTGGACAGCATTATCTCCATGCACAGAACAACACAGATCCCTGAAAAATCAGTTCCTAATGGTTTTAATAAGGCCTTGCCTATCACTCCCTTTGGGTTCATATTTACTCTATCTCCTAATCCCACCCCTACCATATCCTTAAATCCTCTTCCCTTTAATCATCATTAGCCAGATTTTACCAGTTCTAGAAGGTGAAGCTCAAATCCCTCTCCCTCCAAATTTAGCCCATACTATTCTCTTCCCTATCTCAATTCAAATATCAAACGTGTCTACCTCGCACATTAGCTCTCTAGCTTACATGAGCTCTCTTTGATGACCAGAAGTTTTTCCAGAAAGAATGTAAGCCTTTGAGGGCCAACTGACAGTTTTCTTGCAAAGGATCTTGCCCACTGCTAATAAACACCAGAGAAATACTTGTTAAATTGAAATAGAAAAATTAACACAGAATAGCAACCTCATCCAAATCCATTAGGGTTTATTTAATTTTTAAAATTCTACTTCAGTTTTTATTACAATCTCTTTAGTTAAACTTTAATAAGGCATATTGTCTAGGGGCCTGAAAGATAACCAGTCTTCATTAATTTAGGTGAGACAAGAGAAGAACGGACATTTAGGAACTGGATGAACTCCTTGGGTGTTAACCCTCGAGTCAATCATTTGTACAGGTAAGAATATTTGGGAACTCTTGAGACCTTGAAAGATGCCCAAAATTTCAAATACTGCTATGATATGCAGTTCTCTTCACAAAATGTGTGCACCTTGATGCAAAGGGGAGAAGTGCCAAACTGATCTGCAGATGATGGATGTTCAGAAAAAGAGAGACTCACTTTCATACACCAACCTGGCTAAGTGTTTCATACAAAATCATAACCTAGCAAAAGGACAAATGTACTATATGTTGCCAGCCTATGTATGACCTGCTCACAAGTAGGCAAAACAATAAATGTTAAGTTTGTGATTGTCTCCTATGTCACTTATTAGAGCCATATTTTTTTTCCTGGAGGCAATGAGTTTTAGTTGAAGGAACATAGGTCTTCCTAGGGAAGACCTCAAATAAGTTCCCTCAATGTCTGAGTCAGTTTCTTTACCTCAAAAGATGGAGCTGTTTACATCAATTTTACCAAATTGTGAATATTCCTTAAGCTAATATATAAAGAAATGCCTAGCTCACTATAGACCCTTCATAAATGTTCGTTCGCTATCTGAGAATTCTTTTGTGTTTGCTTTTTGTTCAGTGACTTATCAGATGCCCTGGTCATCTTCCAGCTCTATGAAAAGATTAAAGTCCCTGTTGATTGGAACAGAGTAAACAAACCACCATACCCCAAACTGGGGGGCAATATGAAGAAGGTAAATATAGATGTTCCAGTAGGCGTAAGCCTGCAAAACCATTCTGTGAATACTTTATCAGGAGGCCAAACTTAGAAGATAAGTAATGTTTATCCAGGGTTTAAAATTACAGTCGAGCAATCAGAAATCTAGTTTTATTAAAGCGAGTTGCTTGTTTATTTATTATTCCATGTTGGATGTCTTTAAATATTATGCTGTAAAAATTCTAATTAAGATAATTAGAGCAGGGCAGGGTCTCTTCCCCCCAGCAAGATTCTCATTCTAATTTTCCAAAAAAATGGAACTTTGTACTCACAATTTGACTTGTACAAATAGTTTGTCTAATGTCAACACAGTGAGAACACATTGTTATGGAAAAGTAGCAACACGGTTGGCACAAACATTTCCTACTATACAAGCATAGCCACAGGAATATCTGTCTCACATGTCAGTCCACTGTGTGCATGTAGAATAGAGAATCCAGATTTTTCCAGGCCAACCTTTAGGAATTCAGCTATTTTAGGAATATTACAGACAGGTAACTGAGCATGGCTCCCTGTTTATGTAGTGCGATATGGCCATGAAAATGTCCACAATGATGAATTTATTTTGGTTTTACACTTAGAGTACACTGTGAATATTTTTTGGTAGAAATGGAAGGTTTTATTTAAGAAAAGATGGAACTTTCTGTGTCTAATTTAGAATCCTAGAATTGCAGAAGCAGGCAAGACTTGAGAGATCATTTAATCTGGCCATGTTTATTTCATTTTGTCTTTATTTTTGTTATCATAATTTTTTTTTTAGTATTTTAGCACCATAGAGATGATTACATTAGATTGTTGTCCTCTTTCTTCATTAACAGCTTGAGAATTGTAACTATGCTGTGGAATTGGGGAAGAATCAAGCTAAGTTTTCCCTGGTTGGCATTGGTGGACAAGATCTCAATGAAGGAAACCGCACACTAACATTGGCCTTGATTTGGCAGTTAATGAGAAGGTAATGCAACTCAGGGAAATAGCTTTTTATTGAGTGTATTATTAACCTAGAAAAGTACTAGAAAATTTTTAAGAATGTGACTTAATCTAGGAAAACTATATTTTAAGCTAAACTTAAAATCAAAAGTCTTTTAAAAATTTTTCCTTTCAGTTCTATCAGTTTTGTTTCAGGTATTTTGAAACTCTTATTAGGTTCATAAATATTTTAGATTATTTTGTCCTTTTAATTAATCACCCCCTTTTCATTAGGGAATGACTCTCTTTATGCCTGGTAGTAGTCTTTTCTCTGAAATCTACTTTTTGTGATATTAATTTAGCCACTTCAGCTTCCTGTTGATTAGTGTTAACATGGCATATTTTTCTTCTATCCTTTTGCTTTTAAATTGACTTGTGTTAGTAACAGTCTATTATCTTTAAAAGGGATTTTTTCAAAATATGGGGGAAATATGCTACATTTACCTACATATTTGCCATTTCTGATACTCTTCTTTCCATGGTATAAATACAGATTTTTATTTGATATCATATGCCTTCCAGTGGAAATATTTGTAATAGAGCAGAGGAATAATTTCAGCTTCTACATGTCTGAAAAGTTCATTTTCATTTTTGAAAGATATTTTTTTCAAAGATAGTGTTTAGTATCTTTTGGTCTGCATTATTTCCAAAGATAAATCTTTTTTTATCATTTTTATATTTGTATATCTTTCTTTCTCATTTTTATCTTTCTTTCTCTGTATATAATATGATATACAGAGAATATATTTTTTTCTCAGGCTTCTTTTAAGATTTTCTCTTTATCACTGGTTTAAAGCAATTTGGTTATAATGTCCTTTGATGTTGCTCATGATTGAGATTTGTCATGAATATGTGGGTTGATAGTTTTAATCAAATTTGGAATAATTTTAGCCTTTATTGCTTCAAATATGTCTCCTATACTTACCCACCCTTGTTTTGGGGGAGGACTCCAGGTACATATATATTTGGTCATTTGAAAGTGCCCAGAGTTCATTGAAGTTCTATTCATTTTTCTCTCTATTTTTCCTTTTTTTCTCTCTATGTTGTATTAGGGGTGGTTTCTATTGCTTTGTATTCTAATTCATTACTCTCTTCTGCAACATCTAATCTTCCATTAATCCCATTCAGGGTATATAATGTTTATCCAAGACATTATGGTTTTCAAGTATAAATACTTGATTCGGATCTTTTTGGCATATCCCATAGCTCTTTCCTCTACCTTCTTGAACAAACAGAATATAATTACAATAACTGTTATTTCTAGGTCTGTTTCTATTAATTGATTTTTATCCTCATTATGGGTCATATTTTCCTACTTCCCTGCATGCTTCCTAATTTTTTTATTGTATATGAGACATTGTGAACTTTTCCTTGATATGTACTGGATATTTCTGTTTTCCTCTAAATAAATATTCTAGAATTTAGTCCTGGGATGCAGTTGTTACTTACTAAAAAGCAGGTGATCATTTTAAGGGTTACTTAAAGCCTTAATTAGTCTTGAGTTAATTTTGTATTTCAATACTGAGATCATCTCTTTTGAGTACTTTACTTGATGCTCCTTGTATCATATGGTTCTTCCACTCTGACTGATGAGAACCAAATTATTGCCACCCTTGAGTGAGCTCCAAGCATTGTTCTGCCCATTCATTTCTGACAATTCTTTTCCGAGCCTCTGGCAGTTTCTTCACATGCACGCCAAAGACTTGAGGCACACCCTCTGAAGGTCTCTGGAACTTTCTTTCTAAATGATTCTCTTCTTTACAGGTGGCTTTCTCTTCTCTGGTATTCTGTCCCACAAATCCTAGGCACCTTGGCTTCCTCGAGGTTTCAGCCCTCCCCTCAACGCTATGCTCTATTTGGGTTCCTCTCCCTGCACTGCAGCCTGGAAACGCTTCATGCAATAAGCTGGGACAATCTTAGGGCTAACCATGTTTGGTTGCCCTCTTTCAGGGACTACTGTTTTGTGCTTTCCGTTACCCCAAGTCTGAACACATTGTTTCATGTGCTTTTTCATTGTGTTTTAGGTATCTAAGGCAGCAGGGTAAATCAGGTCCTGTTAACCGCCTCATGGACAGAAGCAGAATTTTCTGCTAGTTCTTTAAAAAAAATTAGCTATCTTTTAAAACTGACTATAAATTTGATTGCTATGAGAGCTAGATGTTGGTATTATTAGTAATAGTGGAATATAATAAGATATACAAATATAAAATAAATTATGAGAAAAATAAGCAATTTGGGGTACAAAAGTATTTTTAGGAGACTTTTAGAAAGCAAATCTGTAAGTATAAAATAGTTTACTTTTAAATGCTTTGCTTTGTCCCCCTATAATGATAGCTCTGACTGGGCAGAAGTCTTATAACACTTACTTAGAGCCTATGTTAATGTGACTTAATTCATTTTTCTACCTGGAAGGAAGCTCCAGAAACCACATGTCACCTTATCTTACATCTAATAAGGTAATGGCAACCACAAGGTGTGTTGTGTGTCTAGACCAGTGATGGCAAACCTATGACAAGCGTGTCAGAGGTGACATGCGAACTCATTTTTTTGGTTGATTTTTTTTTGTTAAATGGCATTTAAATATATAAAATAAATGTCAAAAATATAAATCTTTGTTTGACTATGGTTGCAAATATCAAAAAATTTCTATATGTGACACGGCACCAGAGTTAAGTTTGGGTTTTTCAAAATGCTGACCCACCGAGCTCAAAAGGTTCACCATCACTGGTCTAGGCATTTCAGCTTCATGCCCAGGCCACCGTCTGCAGGTCTTCATAATAGTCCTCGAATTATGTTAATGTTTCCAGGTGCTTAGGATAATCAGACATGATTATAATAGCTTTCACAGTCTGATTCACATTTGTTTTATCAAGTATAGTTCTCTACTACCCATTTCTAACCTGGGGCCTCCTTGAAGTCTGAGGCAGGTGTCATAAAACTCCTCTGGCCCAGAAAACTCTAGAGCTAAAGAAACTTCAACTCTATCTCCTTTTTTACTTCATGTATCTAGACCTGTATGTTTCTAACCAATGCATTTTCACCAGTGCATTTTCAGAAACTATTTTTGAACTTTTCTCTGTTGTCTTTCACATGTGCTTTTAACTCTTAATGAGCTGGCTTTGATACTGATTGTTTTAAAAACCAAAGCAAAAATATTTTTAGTTGCAAAAGTTAAATTGACCTGTGGGTTTGAATATAAAATAATCTTTGATATTTTCTGTTTTAATTATTTAAAAACTCAGGCCAATTCTATTCTATTTTGAATTTCATAATATCTGAAAATCACCTTGTAATATAATCTTTGTTGTGGAAGTCTTATAAAAATGTGGCCCAAAGTCATACTTTATGGCTGGCATATATATAACAATGTCTAGTCTACTACTGCCACTGTTGCCACCTGGTTAATGTCACATTTCTCATGAGTGTCTACTATATAAGAATTGTGCATGTAAAAAAGTGGAGAGAGAAATACATTACTGTTGAAGGCGATGAAATGACTAAAAATTATGTAAATGCCACCAGAAGAAATGTATTTCTCTATGTGCTACACATTAACAGACCTATTAGAGGCAATTTTAGCTGGAATTTATTTCATTGGATTGCACAGATGTGCTAAGGTCATTTATCTGGGCAATGAAGGGCATGCCATTTTTTCCCCTGAGAACAAATAAGAGATGTATGTTTAAACCTTTCCCTTTTAGTAGCCTGAAAATAGTCCTCAAGGTGCAAAGCTGGCAAATAGTGTGTGTATAAATTTGGAGACAAAAGCCTGAAAGAAGTAGGCTGCCGGTTAGACTCCAGCAAATGAATACAGAGTCTGAGTTAGACAAATGAGAGGATTCTCCCCAAATCAAACAGTCTAGGACAGTGAATTTGGCATAGGTCCTTGAAAAACAAAACACAAAGGTTTGTCCTTCTGGTTCAAAAGTTAAATAAATAAAACAAGTGTTGGAAGGCAGGAAAGCAACAAAGTAATGGCTGCAGCTCCTGGAGGCCCACACGCACACACCTCTCCAATCCTGCTTGGTTGACTGAGACCCTGGCTGAAGCTGAGGCTCCTGATGCCAGTTCATTTTGACAGAGGAGAACTTTTCAGCACAGCACAGTTTTGCAAACACCTGTGGTACTGGGATCTTGTCTGGAGAGACCTATCAATAATAGCACAGTTGCCCCAAAACATATTTGATGATATGGAGTATTTCACAAGGAAAATCATAGGTAGACATAGGCCAAATTTATTTCTGTTTTAAATTTTTTATCTACATTTAAAGCTTAGAGTTGAGGCTCCAACCTAATTGTATCCTTCCTTCCCTTTGTTTTTACCACTGTCCTCACCAGCAAGCATGGGGCTCCATTTTAAACCTCTCCATCTTCCGTGAGGTGGCAGAAAGCCAAATTTGTGTTCACCAGAGCTCTGTGCCACTGTGAGGGGCCATTCTCAGACACCTGAATGCAGTGAGCTGCCGCCATGGTTTTCTCCATCTTTTTAAACTTCCCTGTTCTTTAGTGGCTTTTTAAAAAATATTTTCATGGATAGACTTTTGTGTAAAGGTGAGCTTCTCCTCTGTGCCATTTGCTTCCCTAGCTCAAGAAGCAGGTCAAAAGCACTGCTTCTATCCATGTGAGAGCGTCAATAAAACAGGCTGGGGCTCTTGACAAAGAGAAGTAAGAATTCTTCCTGAGATGAGTGAAGCTGCTAGATTAAACTTTGTTTTCATCAAACTATACAGAGATATGACCTAAGGAGGCAAACACTAATGTACCATCCTCAATGACTTTACTAGGAAGAAATGCTTAAATGTTATGGTAGATGATAATAACTTAATACACATGGAAACAAGAAGCTAGTGTTGCCATAAAGCATCATCATTATGAACAGATCAAAACTAGGGCCTTTTTCTAAACTAGGGATATTTTAAAAATTTACCTGAGACTTATCCCATTTGTCCTCATTAGTCTTTCTCATTTTGGTCCCCTCTCTGGGTCCACATTAAATATTACCCATCTTGACTTTCTTTTTGCTTTCTATGGGAGAAACCATTCTATTTATTTCACCCACCACTTCACTCCTCCATATACTAGATGCTCAGTATGTACTAGGCACTCTGCTAACCCCTGAAAACAATATGATGAACAAGGTTATGGATTTTGTCTGAGATGACATGGTAGGCAGAGACATGCACATCAACTCCATCAGAAGTTCTGGGAAACAAGTAAGTGCTTCACTGAAAATTGTTCAAAGAATTAGAAATCCCTTCCCAGAGAACAAAGCTGAATCAGAGAGTCAGGAGGATGCATGGTTTGGTCGGGGAGCTGCTGATGGTTCTGTGAGATTGAAACGTGAGTGTGTTTGGGGAGTGGGGGGAGCTTGAGAATAAGGCCAAGAAGAGAGGAGGGAATAAGAAATAAGAGGTTCATTGAAAAGAGATACCAAGGCCAAATTATGAAGGACCTCATGTACCATTCTAAGGAATTTGACCTGTATTCTTTGAGCCATGTCACTTTAAATGACATGACCAGAACTGTACTTTAGAAGGGAAATTCTATGAGGAGGAGAAGCAGAATTAAGAGGAGACAGTTGATTTGAGGGTGTTTGAAGAGGTATAATTGAGATGACTTTGATGCCAGATTGGTAAACATAATTACACACACACACACCCACACACGGTGGAGCAAAAGTAGGTTTATAATTATTTGTATGGAAAATAATAATAATACAAGAATAAACTCTGTATTTCACATACTCTCAAATATGAACCTATTTCTGCCCTGCCTGTATATAATTGCAGGAGCTCTTTTCCTCCCGGCTACAATGATGAAAAGATGCTGTAACCTGGAGGAAGCAGGGCATCACTCCTATTTCAGAGATTAAACTTGAAAGCCATGTGGGAAATTGTGGGAAAATTGTGTTTTCCATAGAATCAGTAATTGGGAAAGTACACCCGATGGATTATGTACACAATCCTAGGCAACCAACTAGAGGGTGACCTCATTTGAGTAGGCCCTCCCTCCAGACAATGGCAGGATACTTGAGTTTCAGAGTGAACAGTACACACTGAAACCCTAGCCCTGAAAGTTTTACATGGGTAATTTGACCCTCTCCTGCAAGCCTGAACCTTTAGGCCAACAAACCTGCTCAAATGCTTGGCTTTCTTCTGTGTATTTCACCTTTCAGAGGGAGTTGCCTTAGGGAATGGTGAGTCTTATCTGTTCCATGAAATGTTAAGAGCTTTGAAGCTTCCTAATAAGTTTCACAAACAAAACCAATTCTTATAACACTATCTAAGGTGATTCTTACTCTCAGACTGGAGCTTAACTTTGGTTTCTACTTTAAAGTGACCTTCACTGTGAGGTATTCCTAACATTTCTGTTCTATGATATAAGAAGGAAACTCTTTTACATACATATATTTAATATGTTGGCTACTTGGGCCTTTCTAACATTGACTTTTTCCTTCTTTGTTTATGGTTCCTTTAAGCAAAGCATTACTGGTTCAGATCTTTTGCATCATTTCCCTTCCCTTGCTTCTCTTCTCATCTGCCTTCTCTTCCGACCCAAGAAGCAATGACAGTGCTTAGGAAATATTTGCTCTGCATCTCATTCTAACAATCATAAAGTTATATTTTAAGTTATCCTAAAAAGAACTAATGTGTGTGTGTGTGTGTGTGTGTGTGTGTATGTGTGTGTACATATATATATATATTTCCCCCCCATCCCCCACTAATGTAACGGTGTCCAGGCTATCTTTTGTGACATACCTAGAAAGAAAAGATATTTTCTACCTTAGCTACTTTCTGTGATATTGAAATATTTAGCAACTTTTTTTCCAAAAAATCATTCTTGATTTTTGTTCAGGTACACACTGAATATTCTGGAAGAAATTGGAGGTGGGCAAAAGGTCAATGATGAGATTATTGTCAACTGGGTAAATGAAACATTGAAGGAAGCAGAGAAACGTTCATCCATCTCTAGTTTCAAGGTAAAATTCTTAGTCTACTGCTCATGACCACCTGAGCTCCATGCTTATCATTACTGTTTTCTATCTGTTTTAAAGTGACCTTAAGTGTGAGGTAGTTCAGGTTCCCCTCCAATTTTGATTTTGCAGAATGACCCATTATTGTTTTGATGTTCATAGCTATTTCATTGACAAATTTCTTGTCACTTTCTCCTGTAATAATTAATTTTAAAAACCAATCATATTTACGTACATTTTAGGTTTTGTTCTTATAAAGTAATAACAAATATGATAATATTTTTTAATCTTTATTGTTGAAAGTATTACATATGCCCCCTTTTTTTCTCATTGACCTCTCCCACCTCGCACCCACCCCACCCCAGGTCTTCACCAGCCTATTGTCTGTGTCCGTGGGTTATGCATATATTCATACTAGAGGCCTGGTGCACAAAATTTGTGCACAGGAGGGGGGGTCCCTCAGCCCAGCCTGCACCCTCTCTCCAATCTGGGACCCTTAGGGGGATCAAGCCTAAACCGGCAGTCAGACATCCCTCTAACAACCTGGGACTGCTGGCTCCTAACCACTCACCTGCCTGCCTGCCTGCCTGATCACCCCCCCTAACCATGCCTGCCTGCCTGATCACCCCTAGCCCTTCTGCCTGCCTGCTTGATCACCCCTAACTGCCCTCCCCTGCCAGCCTGATCACCCCTAAACACCTCTGCCTCAGCCCTCTGCCACAGTGGCTATGTCCAGAAGGAGGACCGGACAACCGGAAGATGTCTGGTTGACCTGGTCTAATTAGCATATTACCCTTTTATTAGCATAGATGAGTTCATTGGTTGATCTCTCCCCCACTTCCCTCCCCTGCCTTCTCTCTGAGGTTTGACAGTCTGTCAATGCTTCTATGTCTCTGAGTCTATTTTTGTTCATCAGTTTATGTTCTTCATTAGATTCCACATATGAGTGAGACCATGTTTTGATAATATTCTTAAAATGTGCACAGCTCCATGATTCAGATTGTTAACATTATGATGGTGAAATATAAAATGCTAAAAGATCTCCCATGCAGTATTTTCTGAGAAAAAAGCAGTTGAGTACTTGTATCCAAATCCCATTTTTATTAATAATAATAGCATTATCTTTTATTAAATTTCTTAGCTCATGTTTTATACATTAACAGGATCCTTCCTCAAGGGACCTATACACTTGATCCATATTATAATATCTATGCCATCTTATCTACATTTTTCTGGTTTAAAGGTCAATATTTGGAGAAAGGACCACTTTGGAGTTGTATTAACAGGTTCAGTGAGGCAGTTGATCATGATATCAATCCTCTGCTTCAAAATCAAGAAAAAAAGTAAAATCTCCTCCCACCAGAAAGGGCAGAAAGGTTGGGCTGTACCAGGAGTGCCCAGTCCCAGTGAGTTCATCACACATAGCAGTCCTTTCTGTCCCCCCTCCACCTTACCGTTCAGTCTGAATTGCTGAGTGGAGGTATGGAGGCTGGTGAGAGAAAAATAGTTGGAAAGGTGGTGGACAAGAGCAAAAGAGAAGGGCTTGCCCCATACGCTCTGAGTACCAGGGCTCCTTGTTTTTAATGTCTCGTTTCATCTTCACAGACATTGTGAAGTCAGATTTATGGTTTTTCTCACATTATAGGTGAGGAACCTGGAGCTCAAGTAACTCCTGAGGTTAGTGCTAGTGATTGCAGGTGAGGGTCCATCAGTGAGGAGAAAGTGTCTTTTACCTGGGGGTGAGGTTGCAAAGCAGTGTATCTGTAGGTCACTTAACCATTACTATGACCATCAGAACGTTTACAAATGCTAAAGAAAGAGACCTGGGTTTTGAGTCAGAATACCTGGGTTCAAATCCCAGCTCCACCACTTATCAGCAACTTACTTAACCTCAGAAACTTCCTTTACTCACTGTAAATTAAATTCAGGTGCCTATATCTGTGGTGACAAGTGAGAAAATTTATTTTAAAAGGTGAAGGGATTAAGCAAAAAAATTTTTTTAATTCATAAACACAGACAACATGATGGTGATTACCGGAGGGAAAGCAGGGTAATGGAGATAGAAGAGAGCAAAGGGGGGATAAATTATGATGGACGAAGACTTGACTTAGAGTGGTGAACACACAATACAATACAGATGATGTATTGTAGAATTGTACACTTGAAACCTATATAATTTTATTAACCATGTCACCCCAATAAATTCAATAAAAAAGAGAAAAAAATAATTATTGTAAGAAGAGAAGAAAATTCAACCTACAATTATTTTTTTTTTAAAAAGTGCTGAGCAAACTGTGAAACACCAACAAATATTAGTTACTGTCATTTTATTTAATCACATAATTGCCAACACTGTCTCCCTGGACCTATGGACTCTTTTCTTTCCTTGAGGTCTCCGAAAAATGAGTATCTACTGAAACTCCTATCCACCTGAGCCCTTGTCACTATCCCTGCCCATCACCTCCAGGATATCCCCCAAAATGAAGCAAGGTTTCTCCTAGCATCTTTGGTCTCTCCTTCTTGATGGGTTTTTTTTATCAAATCTTTCCTTCCTCTGTTCATACCAGTAGTTACATTAAACATTTCAACCTCTCTGCTTTTCTCTAGTTGTGCTTACTTTCATTCACACGCTATTTGAGAATGGCTCCCTGCCTGTTGGTAGACAATAGGTTTCCTCTGCTTATTGAGCTACTTAGGAAGTTACTAATGCCTCTACTGAAACTACAATTGATTTGAAACTACAATTAATGTGCAACACTGTTGCATTTTCCAGACCAGCAGTATATATTTCATATTTAAGAGGAAAGAACTACCCACTTCCCTTGAACGAAATAAAAGTAACCTGGGAGCATACTGATAAAACCCACCCTTCTCTGTGCGCAGGACCCGAAGATTAGCACAAGTTTGCCTGTCCTGGATCTCATTGATGCCATTCAACCAGGTTCCATTAACTATGACCTTCTGAAGACAGAGAACCTGAACGATGAAGAGAAACTCAACAATGCAAAGTACGTAAATAGACCTGAGGTCAGAGAGGGAAGGACCCAACTGGCAACTGGATACCTATAAAGTCTATTGTTTGTGCCTTTGTGCAAACACTTTAGTTTCACTACTGATGCTTTTTCTTCTTGTGACTTGTTGTGTCCCATCTAATTATCTAATTATTTTAGATATTGTGCAATAGTAGTTTTAAGTCTCCTGGGATTAGAGAGAGCAAGACAAAAAGCAAGTGTATTCTTCCAATTGATAAGCAACCTTATATTTTCATAAAACCAATTTTCTAATCATAATTATAGGACACTTTATTTAGTTCGTATATGGCAGGCCCGAACACAAACACCCTTTTTGTGAAAATCCATGTACACAAATGGGCAGGGGATGGGATTCAAGATCAGAGCCTTCTCCTGCTTGGAAGCAACTGCCATTTGCTTTACCACATAGAGTGGGGGTCAGCAGACAACTATATAGTCTGGCCTGTCATCTGCTTTTATAAATAAAGTTTTATTGAAACACATCTGTGCTTATTTATCCATATTTTTATAGCTGCTTCCCTGCTGCAATGGCAGAGTTGACTAGTTGTGGCAAAGCCCACAAAGTCTGAAATATTAACTATCTGGTCCTTTGTGGGAAGTTTGCTGACCTCTACTCTAGAGAAGCACCTTTCTCAGAAAAGCTTGTATTACTTTCTGAGGGCTGCCATAGCAAAATACCTGCAAGCAAGGTGACTTCAAAGAAATTTGTTCTCTCACAGTGTAGAGGGTACATGTCCAAGATCAAGTGTCAGCAGTGTTGGTTCCTTCCGAGGGCTATGAGGGAAAGTCTGTTCCATACCCCTCTCCTGCCTTCTGGCCTTGGCCAGCAAGCCTTGGCTTGTAAATGTATCACTCCAATCTCTGCCCCCATCTTCACATGGCCTTCTTCCCTGGGTCTGTGACTTCACATGGCTATCTTCCCTCTGTGTGTGTCTGTGTCTCTTCCACTGTTCTTATAAAGACTCCAAGTCATATTGTATTAGGGCCCCACATTACTCCTGCATGACCTCATCTTAACTAATTACATCTTTAAAAACCTTATACCAAATGAGGTCAGAATCGGAGGTCCTAAGGGAGAGGGCTTTTACATACCCTTTTTGAGGGACACAATTCAACTCCAACAGTGTCCTCTCTGATCCCAATTTGGGGAAGTGGGGACCTGTGTTTCTGGTATGCTGATGTTTAGCACAACATAATGAAGAGAAGATAAATAATTAAATGACAATTACAATACAGTGTGATTGGGTGGTATGGAAGGGGGAGTACAGGGTGCTATCAAGGAGACAGAAAAGAAATGGGAGCTCTGCAGAGCAAATGACATCAATGCTGAAATGGATTAAAAGGACAAGTAAGAAGGAGCTAGACAGGGAAGGAGATAAGAAAACACTCCAAGTAAAGGGAAGAACACCCAGAATGTATGAAGACCCAGAATTTTTTTTTTTTGACCTCAAAAATAGCTTGAGTCTAGATGTTCAAGATGGATATGATTAGGTTTAAGGAACTTGCCCAAAATTTTACAATTATTAAGTGGTTCTGCTAAGATTCAAAGTCTGACTTCAAGGCCCAGGCTCCTAACCACTATCCTACAAGGGCAAGATACAAAATTACTTTTAAAATGGGTAAAAGGAATTATGAAAAAAATCTTAAAAATGTTATGGTGGCAAGGTTGTACATGATTTTTGAAGCTCTATTTTTTCTTTATATTTTATAATGGAAGATACATTTATTTCATTAATAATTAATATAGAGGAATTGATTGAGAGATGGACAAGAAGAATGGGGACTACCCCAGCCTGGTACTCTTAATTTAATTGATCCATAAAGTAAAAATAAAGTTATTTTAGGGGAACAGGAGGAGTGATGGGGCCTTGGGAACAATGGAGAATCTCTGGAGTAGTCATCGTAAGTTACTGGATAATAAACAAAGTGAATGAAAGAAGTGACAGGTAGTAACGTAGGCACATTTGAAAATAGATTAAGCTAATTATCTTCCTATAGCTATAAATAGAGCAAAAATGTTCTGATGCAACTATGATCATTTTATGTGGAAAATGTATAATATAAAACTCTGGCTATTCTAGTGTTATTGCAACATACATAAATACATGTATATGTGCACAAGAACTGGAATGGAACAAGGAATAAAATAATTGATTTGTAAGGTCAAAGTATTGAAATGTAGTCTGTAAACTTTTGTAGTTGAAATATAGACTGCTAACTTTTCCTAGCACACATTCTTCTCCAGTTTGATGACTTTTTTCTACTGCTATATAGCCCAAGAAAATACTCATGATGAAAGCATCCAAAGTGGCAAGAGCTAGGAAAATATTTAAGGACAAGTAATACATTTGGTATAGTAGACAGCAATTCTGATGGAGTCAGGAGTTTTATCAAGCCAAGATTTGCCCATAAAAGTGAGAGGATGTCAGTGACTGGCTCTAACCATACCAGGAGTGAGCTTTGTGTTATATATAGTTTGCAGTAGTGTACGGTATAGAATGATTATACCAATATCCTGAGGGTCCGCTTCATACTTTGTTGCTCTGGCTCTTCTCATTCTTCTTTTCTCCCTTTTAGGTATGCTATCTCTATGGCCCGAAAAATTGGAGCAAGAGTGTATGCCCTTCCAGAAGACCTGGTTGAAGTGAACCCCAAAATGGTCATGACAGTGTTTGCTTGCCTCATGGGGAAAGGAATGAAGAGGGTGTAAGGCCCAGTGGAGTGGGGCTGGAGGTGGCACACCTGACTGCTCAGCACTAGATGCTCCTAGGAAGCACAGAGATGATTCAAGCCATTCCAAACTTTTCAACTTGGTGACATCATACAAGATTCCAAAAAAGTGTATATTTGTTCAGCCAGGTAGCCTCTCCTGTATTTAACAAAAAGTGCTTCATTCCTTGCAAAAGATCCAATTCCTTACAAATATTTTTTTACCATTGAATTTATTGCTTCTTTGAAAATCTAGAGAAAAAAAAGAACTTATTTTCCTGGTACCATTCCTGCTTCCTGCCATTAGTCAAGTATAGAAGCTGCAGTGTTATTAATTTTAATATAGTCTTTCAACCAGCTTAATTTGGCTGCATTTTTGTTTAAGGTGAGGATCAGCAGAGAAAATCATCAAACAAGTCCCAAAACCTGTTTCTGGAGGCTAGCCTTTGATCTGTGACAAGCCTCTCTTTCTGTTCCCCTACTCCTTCACTCTACTTCCCTGTGACTTTGCTATCCACCCTCTCAGAACTGTGCCTTTTCCGTGACCCACCGCTGTAGACCATTCCTGCCTCTGGGCCGTTTGGAGCATCTGACAAATCAGTCAGGCTACTGGGGTCCTAATAGTCTCCAGGAACCTGTAGGAAAGTAAGACTCATCATCAGAGCTTTTCCTCAGAACTAGGGTCCCATTTGTTATCAGTTTTTAGTTTTCTTTTCAGCCAGTAGGAAGCCCTCTGTTTTTAACCCTAAGATTTGTGCTCATACCAGATCTAACATTTTTATTTATTTTTTGTTTTGTTTTGTTTCTAACACCTTTAATATTATGCTCTTGGTTAGATCCAAGCAGAATGTAATTGAGCAGCAAACCACCAGGGGCCAGCATGAAGCCACAAAAAAGCATCTATCTATCCTTTGGTGCTGCCTCTCCATGTCCTGAGCCCTGCATGTTAGACCTAGTTATCATGGTATGCCTAAATATCTGGGGAGTGGGAACAATCCTGCTCTGCTTTAATTTGCTCTGAGATCTTAATGTATCTGATTGCTGCCAGGCCATATTATCAATGTTTACTTTTTTAGTACTGGAAAAGCTTTTTACAACCCCCAAACTCCCAGGGGACAATATGTGCCAATGAACAGGGACCCCAGCTTACCCCCCAACACCGACACACACACACACACACCCCTACCCATACCTAGTCATATGTCAAACTGGATAAGAACTGGCTAAGTTGCTTTACAAAGATCTAATTTACTGGGTATTTAAAGAATTTCTAAATAAAACAAAAGAGACAGTGAATTTGAGCAAACCTAATAGGTTATACAATTTCATGTAAAGCTACTGAAAGCTAAAAAACAACAGGACATTGTGAACCAATGCTAGACCTTCTCTATAGTGCTGAAAGGGCTCATCAGTGAGGTATCTTCTTTAGCGGTGGTATGTCATGGAACTTAGCTATTTCTCAAAGCAATTGGAAATATCACCCCAAATCTGTTCCTTGGCAGTGGGCTCAGGAAGCCAATGTGTGGCTTCTGTGGCATCTGAATGCTAAGTGGTTGGTTTTATCTTACTCTGCACTTAATGTAGCCTCCGATGATTCTCTTCCATCTGCTTGCAGGAAGAATGTTACCGCCTAAATTGAAAATGAAGCTAATGTTCAAAATCTCTCCAAATAAAATGTTCCTTATATTGCATGTCCTTTGATGGTTTTATAACTTATTCATTCATTCATTCAGCCAGCACTCATTGAGTGCCTAACTGAGTGCCAGACACTATGCAAAGTTTGGGGAATATGCCTATAAATGAGACAGGCATTGCAGTCCATTGATCAGGAAGTGCAGTAAGTGATTAATAAGGGCAGGGTCAGACTTGAGCTTAGAGAAAACAGTCTAAGAAATATTTTGGTTGAAAACTGAAGAATAGGTTGGAGGTAGTTTGACAAAGCAAAGGCTAAAATTAGAGTGGAGACACAAGTTCTCAGAAACACACTGAACCCAGTCGTGAACAAAAGCCAGACTTGGATATTGATGCCACACAGCTTTTAGCATAATTTGAGAAGGAATCTTTTGGATTGGCAGTGCCAAGGGTCTCCTCCCTAGCCTGGCTGGGCCTCACTTTGGCAGGCTGAGGGAAGGGATGTTGCTGAGGTATTCTGCTGCAGTGGCTCCCCGCCAGATGGGCTGCTGTGACGGAAAAGCATCTATGTAGCATGGTCACTTTCTTACCAGGAGGCACCACACACCCACACAGCTTCTCGGAAGCCGGGCTTTTGTGCGTAAGCTGTGTGTCCTGGCTGCACTAGCAGCAGCTTTTGGAGATGGCTCATTCCTGGCCAGAACATTCCTGCAGCTCTGCACTTCCCTACAAATAAAGGGGTTACAAATAGTAACTGTTTTTTGCACAAGACTGCACTGATAGGTCTCCTGAACGAGTTCTGGATAGCAGAATAAGTACTCTCAAGAAAGCAAAACCAAGACTCTCCTGAAGAAGAAAAGGACAAAGGAATGCAGCAATCTCAGCATGATCATTTTTCAAATTTAAAGTTTATTGCTACATTTTAAATAGTCAGTCCAAGTATGGCATCAAAAGTTAAAATTGTACCAAAGGGTCCACAATGGAAAGTAGGCCACCTTCCCACCCCCATGTCTAGTGGTGTGCTTTGAAGCCAATTTTGTGAGCCTATGGTTAAACCATTGTTTGCTTGAAATTGCCCATGATGGGGGTAGTTACACCACAGATATAATCTAACTCTATAAATGGGAGCTTTTTTAAAATCTCCAGAGAGTTAGTTTATCAACCACCAGTATCTCTGTCCTAGTCCTCCAGTTTCCCTCCTAGTCAACAACTACTGTTACCAACTTCTTTTGTATCCTCCTAGTAATATTCTCTGCACATTATACATGCACACCTTTTTAAATTACAAACTATATTACAAATTTACTTATTACACATCATTCTGCATCTCACTTTTTTCACTTATCGTATCTTGGAGACTGTGCCATATTGGTACATGTCAATCTGCCTCAATCTTTTCAACAGATGCTTAGTAGACTTAGTGGCTCATAAAGAGATATTTAAGCTTTCCTCAGTGCATAATAGTTTCCAGTGGTTCTCAACCTTCTGGCCCTTTAAATACAGTTCCTCATGTTGTGACCCAACCATAAAATTATTTTCGTTACTACTTCATAACTATAATATTACTACTATTATGAATTGTAATGTAAATATCTGATATGCAGGATGGTCTTAGGCAACCTCTGTGAAAGGGTCGTTCGACCACCAAAGGGGTCGCGACCCACAGGTTGAGAACTGCTGGTTTAAATCATTTGCCTTAGCGCATAAGGTCACAATAATATTATACCCACTTCTTGTGCACACAATGTTAATTTTAACTTGATAGGTACTTATCAAGTTCCTACTCTAGTAAAGGTATTGAACATTGGACAGCAAAACATAGAAACATAGATTCTCCTCTTAAGTTTCCTCAAATTATTTGACAAAGAACCATGAACTGAGATGGCCCCTCAAGCTGTTTCCAAATTCTCCACTTTATGTCTAAGGAGACATGTTAATCCAGCAAGGAGATAATGTGCACATGTGCATGCATACACACATAACATAATAAAAAGCAGAATGTAATAAATGCTATAACAAAGTTGTAAAAGTTTGGGAGCTCGTGGAAAATTAGCTCTGAATGAAGGGTTTGCAGAAGTTTTGTTCTAACCTTTGGCCATGTGGATGAAATGCTAGCAGCGTTCTCTTAGTGAACTTGGCATTGTTTTGCCCAGCACATCCCTGCCAGCCTCATGACCCACAGACCAGAGCAGATGCTCAGAACAAGTTAGCAGCCCAGACTGATTCTCTTGCAAAATCCAGTCACTGATGGTTTCCTAATAAAATTCCAGTAATTAAACTCTCAGCTGCCAAACACTGCTCTTTACTCAGTGTTCTCTCCTTCCATTTCTGAAAGACAGTTCACCAACTGAGTCTGTGCATGGGTGACAGAAAAAAAATCGTGTAAATATTTTCTCATGTCTAAAGTCTACATGTATTTAATAACTCACTGTATGTGGGGCACAAAAACATAGTCTAGTCAATATTTACTATCTCACCATTAACTTAGCAAAATGGCAGTAACATTTATTTTATCAGGTTTGTCAAAATTGAGGAGTTCCAGCTATACAAGTATTTTGGTTAATATAGAGCTATCATACATCAAGAGAATTAGAATGGGACAACGGGGTGCCAGTGACCCAGGCAGAGCTGAGGCATTGGAAGCAGAAGTGCCCACCCACCCCTCCTATTAGCTATGGGCACCATCCCCAATATGAGTCTGTTTAAACTATCCTGACCAGGACCGGGATACTCCTACAGAACCCAGCCCAAAGAGGACATACAAGTGGCCAATAGACATACGTAAAAATGTTCAATGTCACTAAGCATCCAAGAGATGCAAATTATAATGATAATGAGGTATCACCTCACACCTGCCAGAATGGCTACCATCAATAAATCAACAAACAGCAGCTGCTGGTGAGGATGTAGAGAAAAGGGAACCCTAGTGCACTGCTGGTGGGAATGCAGACTGGTGCAGACACTGTGGAAAACAGTATGGAGTCTCTTCAAAATTAAAAATTGAATTGCCTTTCGACCCTGCCATCCCACTTTTGGGAATAGATCCTAAGAATACTGAAAAACCAATCAGAAAGAATATATGCACCCCTATGTTTATAGCAACATTATTTACAATAACTAAGATCTGGGAACAGCCCAAGTGCCCATCAGTAGATGAGTGGATAAAAATGCTATGGCACATTCACACAATGGCATACTATGCGGCTGTTAAAAAGAAGGATCTCTTACTCTTTGAGACATCATGGAGGGACCTGGAGAGTATTATGCTAAGTGAAATAAGCCAGTCAGAGAAAGATAAGTATCTCATGATCTCACTTATATGTGAAATCTAGGAGGAAAATTTGACAAAATAGGTCTAGAGGCATGGAACAGACTGACAGATCTCAGAGGGGGAGGGTTGTGGGGAAGACAGAAGAGATCAACCAAAGAACTTATATGTATACTAGGGGCCCGGTGCACAAAAATTTGTGCACTGGGGAGGGGGTTCCCTCAGCCCAGCTTGCCCCCTATCACATACTGGGAGCCCTAGGGGATGTCCTACTACCTGCTCCCTGCATTAGCCAATGAAAAGGGTAGCGGTCGTACGCCAATTACCATGTTTCTCTTTTATTAGTGTAGATATGCATAACCCATGGACACAAACAATAGTGTAGCGAAGTTCTATGGTAGAGCCAGAGCTGGGTGAAGGGGGAAATTGGGGGTAAAATAGGGGACATATGTAGTACTATCAACAATGAAAAATGAACTTTTAAAAACAGAGGATTAGAATGCATGCACATACTTAATTCTGAATCTATGTGTAACCTAACATGAAAGTTGATGACTCAGTAGTCATTTCTGGACTTGGCTGTCCCATGAGCCCACTTTACTAGTCCCAAATGTTTAAACTTCCTTGCTTTAAGTGTGGTTCTCAGACCAGAAGCACCTTGAGGCTGATTACAAATGCAGTCTCAGCCCCCACCCCAGTCCTACTAAATCAGAATCTGCATTTTAATAAGATCCCAAATTAATTTGTACGCACATTAAAGTTTGAAAAACACTGTCCTAAAAAAACAGAAGTTGTCTTAAAAGATCTTCAGCTGATAGTTACATTAATTAGCTGTAAATTAAATTACACTTTCTCAATTACACTAGACTTGAGAGATTAAAATAACTTTTCCCTGTTCTCCCATCCACAATATCCATTTGAAATAAATAGAGTGGCTCTCCTTCCATTTGGGTGCACCCAGCCTTGGCCTTTGCTGTCTCCCTCCCCCTTAGTCCCTCTCTTCCTGGTGGCATCCATTCCCAAAAAGTGCTACATCTTCCTGGTCCTGCTAGGTACAATTAAGGTGTTTCTTAGCACAACCTCTTGCTGGCTGCCTAGGACTTCCACTTTAATGCATCTGACCCGGTGGCATATCACTTAAGTCTTCCCTCCTTTCATTACCTACATCAAAACTACCGGCTTTTACTCCCACAGTCTCTGGAGCAATCTCTCTATGACTTCCAGTGACAGCTAGGAAAGTTAGTAAACCAAATTGTCCCAGGGGTTGGGGTTCATGGCCCTCCAGTGTCTACTCTTTTCTGCCCCAACACATGCACTTCGCAATGATTTTTTAGGAGTGCAGCTTCATCATTGTTATCTTTGCCAATTCCCTAATGACAAAGAGAGAAAGAGGAGAGTGTTTTCCAAGTGAACAACTCTAATATTCAAAGGTCCAGAGGATGGAAAAAGTTCGTTATATTTGAGGAACTGAAACACTAGTATGACTGATGGGGAGTGAGAATTGTCATATGAACTAGTGAAAGGTTTGAGTGATTCTCAGGCGTTAGGGTGCTTAGGAATCACCTAGGGAACTTGTTAAAAATACAAAATTTCCTGATTCCCTCTTGAGATTCAATGCCCATAGGTCTTTGTCCTCAAGAATTTCCACAAACACCCTAAGCGATTCTGTGACTCACAGACCACCCTTAGAGAACCACTGGTCCCGACCAGCTGTTCTAAATACTGGCTGCACATTGGAATCATCTCAGGAGCTTTAAAAAATGCTGATGCCTATACTCCTCCCTCTAGATT